CCCCCCCGCGCCTCGGGTTCCCCTCGCCCCTCACCCCCCCTCAGAGGACCATGGCTTTGAACCGGCCTATACACTCTACTTATTACTATTATTATTATTATTTATTATTATTAATTATTAATTTTTTTATAAAATAATTGGAAATTTAATTAAAATAATCATGATTATAACGCTTCATTCCGCCGGCGTATATAAAAATAATAAATAAGTGTGTAAATAAAAACGTGTACGATGATAATACTTGCCAATGTAAATTACTAACTAAAGAGTCAAGTAACTCTTGAGGGTTTCTAATTGCTACTATATACTATCGCTTCAAAAAGGTTAAGTTGTCGCTCAAAATTCGACGCTATAAACCTTTTTCATGGATTTAGTTAACGCTGGCGACAATTGTGATCACGTGATCCTTTTGATGCTGAAAATGAGCATCGAGTGTTAGCATAAAAAGGCACCTTTTATCGATACAAAATATGTTATGAATATGGGGTAGCATTATAATGGGCGCGTTCAGCGGACGCAACAGTTGAGTGAGCGCTCGCTGTTATTGGTATATTCTTTTAGATCAACCAATAGCAGCGAGCGCTCACAGATCTGCTCCGCAACAAGGGTGCGTTCAGAATGAACGCCCGGACGACAACTTTTTACCTAAAAGCGTTCGATTTGACCGGATGTTTCGTCCAGACGTTTCACCCAAATTGTTCAGAATGGGTTTAGAAAAACACCCAGACTACAACTTTTCGTCGCACTCGAGACTGCAGCCAATTTCGCCCGACATGCGCAGAGAAGCCCTATTTATGCCTACGCAACCTATAAGAACCATATGATGATATGATTTGAGGTTATTATTATGTCTCACGGCATTTTAGCACCGAGACACTTCCGCCGTATTTAACCGTGATAAATAGAATAATATAAATTATAAAGAATAGTTCGAACTTTAATATAAAGAATAGTTTGATAGATAATAATATAAATATTTGATAGATAATAATATATTTTATAGATGATATAAAAGAATAGTTTGAACTTGGTAAGGGATTATATACATTTTTTATTTACATTATTTATTCTATATAACAATATATTAATGTAAAAAAGCAAGTAATAAATACATGCATAAATTTTATTAAGAGAGAATTATTCAAAATAAAAGCAACATAATTTAAATCAAAAATAGAACTCTCGAGAATGTCAATAACAATAAATAAACAGGCTAATGAGAGTCAAAAACTGCGGTTGTTCGTGCGAATTAAAATTATTTATTAAAATATACTTATAAAAATAAATCAGACGTTTCGGCTTCTATTTGAGCCATCTTCAATGATCTGAACAATATCCATTCAAATTCAAAATAGCATGGTCATCAATTGGCTGCACAGGTGTGGTAACACATCATCTCCATTAGAATAAGACAAAAAATTTGATCGTTTTTTGTCAATTAATGGAAAACTATTAAATAAAAATTGTCAATAAACAAATTATCAGTGAAAAAACTGAAAAGATTAATGAGAAACTCACCAATGCAGCAAATTAACATCAAAAGAAATTACAAAGTTATACGTGTGAAATAAAAGTGATACACAGTCAACGGACAATAGTCAAATGAGATAAAAACAAAGTGTGGGAAAGACAAGCATGTAATGAGAATGCGCAAAACGCAACATAATTCTATTAATTTATTTAATATTATTAATTTTTAGTTGAAAAGTACAATGGAAAATTGTACAATAGGTGCTATTACATTATATAAAACGTTCTTCTTGAGTGATATCGAGTCTGATGACGATTCCAAAGAAGAGGAGCTAATAGAATTATATGCTGAGAAATTGTCAAATTCCCAAAAAAAAATTCCATCTCGAATAAAATATTTTATTGAGCATACCGTATTAAACAGTACGGCAAAGGAATTTCAATCACATTTCAGAATAACAATTTCAGTCCTTTTCCTTTTTAGAGACTTCTACGATTTGGATAGATTATCTTTTACAAAATTCATGCATTGAAAAGGACCTGGATTAAGGTCGAAACGTATGCAATTTGCTATTATATGTAACTAAATAAATTTTACTACACACCTTCATCCTGTGTTGTCTCTCAACGGCAATTTATTTTAATTTTTGATACATTTACATTGTCACCACGTATTAATCGTAATA